CAAAAAAAAAAAAAAAAAAACCCAAAAAACCCATACCTCACCTTCATGGCCCCAGGAAAGAACTAGTCATGTAGATCAGCTACATTATTAGTGAGTTCAAATTTTTATGTTGTATCCTGTGGGAAACACTCATTTGAACTGTTTACAATTACTACTGAGGTTATGGGAAGGATGAAGGTGTTAAGAGCGCTTTCACATAGCTTTATATTTTCAGATACATTGTATAGGGTATTTTGCAAGTCATGTAATTGACACATACCTTTGTTTGTAGAACAATATGATGCATTTGTCAAGTTTACGCATGATCAGATAATGCGGCGATATGGAGAACAGCCTGCTAGTTGTAAGTATTTGACCTCTGAACCATAAATTGAAATGACCATGTTTTCATATTTAAAAAGAGTTGATAAAAAAATGTAGAGAAAATGTCGATTTAAAACAAAAAAGTAAAATGCTGCAACTCTTGGTTACTTAAATATCTAGGGGTGATGTTAGGAATGGATTATCTTGTATGTTTTAATTGTATCCCATTCTTTGCACTAATACTCCTTTTCTCCTCCAGATGTTTCATGAATCACGCTTTCTGCATTTGTGGGCTGCCTTGTTCCTTGTTGAGTTGTTGCAGGAGGTCCCAACTATGACATGCAGCGATGCCAGTACCCATCTGTGAATACAGGTTACTTCAAGCTTTCGTCAGTGGCAACCACTCTTAGGCAGCAGCAATTGGTTTTGGAAATTCCGTGATGTCATTACCACCTGGATGTGGACCTTTGCTACTTGTATTACTACCAGTGGCCTCGTTTTGCTGTATCATTACAATTTGGCTTCTTTATATTAATGTTTGAAAGGGATTAAAGTTGGCATCCTAGAACATGCCCTTTACTGGTTATGTAAATAAAACTGTAGAATGACACGTCAGATGAAGTTAGTGTGATTTTAATTGTGCACTACAACCAAGCTGTAACCAGTTATTAATAATTTAGAATGTAATCCCAGGACAATTAAGCAGTTAGTCGACAGTACTTCTGTGAAATAGTGGAGGAGGAGGAGGGCATTTCTGTATTTCAGGACTTTTCTTGGGGTTTCAGAATGGGTTTATATGATTTCCTTTATTATTATTTTTTGGTAGTTTTATTTATTCTATCAGTCTTTTTAACAAATGTTTATTGCTGCACCCCCTCCCCCATTGTATCATTGTTTTACTGCCCTTGTAGCACTGGAGTTTAGTTGGAAAAATAAAACATTTACTTCTATTCTGCTTGTTTTCAAATTGTACACATGGGTAGTATTGGAATAAAGTAGTGTTTTAAACGTAAGTATTTTCTAGAAATCAATAAAGTTAGTTTTCTGGTAAGGTTTACTTTTTATTAAATGCTGTTTCCAAAAATTAAGTTCTGATTCAGAAGTGCTTCTGTGACTTGCTGTATGACAGCATGTTACATAGCAAGACCTCAAACAGCTGTAGAATTTGTACCTTTGATTCCAGTTTTAATGTTTTGAATGGGATATATTAAAGTATGGTTGCTCCAGCTGATATAAAATACCCCAGCAAAAAGCAGTTTAGGGTAAAGGGGTTTATTTTAGCTCACAATTCCAGATTAGTCCATCTAAACAACAGGAAACTGCATCTACAGCTAAGAGCAGAGAGCAGTGACTGCGCAGTGCTCAGTTAGCTTTCTCTTGGACAGGTTAAGGGATGGTGCCACTCACTCTCAGGTTGGCTCTCCCTACTCAGTTGAGGCAATTCAGTCCCTCCCAGACATGCCCACAGGCCAACCTGACCTAGACAAGCCTTGTTGAGACTTAGGAAACCCTAGGTAGTGTTACAAAATGAACATAGGGGCTGGAGAAAGGCTCAGTTAAGAGCGCTTGTTGCTCTTGAATAAGACTCAGGTTTGGTCCCAGCACCCCCACAGCAGCTCAGCAACTGATACCTCTTCTGAACTCAAAGGTCTCAGGATGCACACACTGTACACACATATACACTCAGGCACACATACATACATATAAAACATGTAAGTATTTTCAAGACACTAACAACACATGAATGAATACATGTAACACACTTTCCATGTATGGTTTCCAGACAAAGCTTTCTTACAAAATAGTGAGCAAGCTGAAAGTGCTAGCCGTACACTTACAATCTTGGTAGTGGGGAGGTAGAAGCAAGAGGGTTAGGAGTTCAAGGCCAACCTGGTCAATATGAGAGGACACTCTCCCACCCCCCAAAAAATTACACAGTGAATTCTACTGAGTTTTTAAAAAAGGTTTTTGTTTGTTTTTTTTATACACATATGCATGTAGGTGTGCCTGAGACCAGAAAGACAGCCCGTTGTTGAATTGGCTGTGAGGAGGCTGGGAAGCAAACTCCTGTAGTCTTCTGCAAGATCACCAAGTATTCTTAACTGTTGAGCTATCTCTCTGGCAGGTACCTAAGGAGGCCAGAAAGAGGGTGGTGGATATTTTGGAGCTAGAGTTACAGAGCAGCCTGATGTGGCTGGTAGAAACCAAACACTGATCCTTTAGAAGAACAGCAAGTGTTCTTAACTAGTTAACCATACCTCCAGCCCTAAACTTGTAGTGTTTAGGATAAACCTTTTGTGTAAGAATATAAGGTGATGCTACGGTTTTCATGTTATAAAGTAATAGCATATGGCTTTTACCTGGTTGCTGTTCAGTTTGGATACCTGGTTAGGTTATCTGGTAAATTTATCTTAATAATCTATTACTAACAAAGTTAACTAAGATTTCTATTTTGGTAAGTCCACCCAATGAATAACATTTGAGTTTTTGAAACTCTTCATTTGGCTTCTAAGATATTTGCCCAACTTCTTCCTCACTAGCGCTCTTATAATCAACTTGTACTGTTTTCTTGAATTCTTTTTTTTTTTTTTGGTTTCTCTGTGTAGCTTTGCGCCTTTCCTGGAACTCACTCTAGCCCAGGCTGGCCTCGAACTCAAGAGATATGCTTGGTTCTGCCTCCCGAGTGCTGGGATTAAAGGCGTGTGCCACCACCACCAGGCGCTAGGCCTGATTTCTTAACTATAAGTAGAGTATAAACCTCAAAGCCAAGAGTTTGAGCTCCTTGCCTCTTTTCAATACTGATTTTGGTGATCTGATCTCTATTATAACAAGATTTGTTACCTCACTGTGTGACATTTCACTTAAAATGCCTAACAGGACATACCCATACCCAAAGCCAACCTCATTTTTGCTGCTAATGCTTCTTCCAATCAGTTAATCCTTCCATAACAACAATAAAATCCTCAAGGAATGATTTATGATGTCAGTTTATTTTAACTTAGTATTTAATGTTTCAGTGATTAGTTGTCCATGTTGCTTTGGTCTGCAGTGAGGCAGCAGCATATGGCTGGTGTAGAGTGTAGAGCTAAACCATTAGCTCATCAGCCAGGAAGCGAAAAAGTAAAGAGGACCGTTGGATCCTGCTGTTTTCCTTGAGAAGTTTCCTTTGCGCCTTCCTTCCTAGAGATTCCACCACCACTCAGTAGTTCCTGTTGTCCTAGGGACTAAGCCTTACAAATGGTCCTCTGGGTAGACCTTAATCAAACCACAGCGAGCCCCCTAATAGCAATGCTTCTAGTTTTAAAGCAGAAAGGATCTTAGATTCCTTCATGTGCATCTAATAGTACTTCTACAGTGTCATTGTCTCTACTATTATCCTAGTCTAATAATTTGCCTTGCTTGGATTACCTCCGTGGTCAACTAACAGGTTACTGGTTTACTTCACCATTCCTCTTACTGTATTCTCAGAGCAGGTATTTATCATTTAAAGCTTTATGTCTTTTGTTTAAGAAAACAATAGTCCTTATAGAGATCTGTGGAGCCATTACTTGTACTCTTGTCCTTCTCACTCAAATCCGATTGCTGTCTCTGCTCCTTTGATCTAGCTAGGGCACTCCCACCTTAGGACATTGGTTATTGCTGTTACCTGCATAGTGGGTTCACTGGTCAATCTTCGTGGGTAGGGTTTTTTTTTTTTTTTTTCTTTGCAGTTTTGCTCAAGTGAAGTTGAGCATATTTTACTCTTTAAAATTTCAATGACAAGCCTACTTGTTTTCTACCACAAATAGTGTGTTCTTCTTTGCTAAAGTACAAGGAAGAAAGGATCTTTGTTTTCTGAAGTATCTCAGAAGTAACAGGTACGTGGTATGTGCCTTTGTTTGTTTTTGTTTTTTGAGACGGGGTTTCTCTGTGTGGCCCTGGCTAGCCTCAAACTCACAGAGATCTGTCTGTCTCTGCCATCCGAGTGCTAGGTTTAAAGGCGAGTGCCACCACCACCTGGCTGCCTAATATTTTTTAAATAAACTTAAAGTACTTTCAGATTAGTACTTCATTAAAACAAAAGAAAAATAATTAGAACACACTAATTGTAAGTAATTCTAGTTGAGGTTTCAGTTTTCTTCAACTAAGGGCTGAATCTTATAGGATACCAAGCAATTATTACAAATCACTTTAATAGTTTAGTATTACAAATCTTTTCGATACTATGAGAACAGTTTCGGTTGTGCGGCTTTTACTATTAGGTGGTGGAGGAAAAATCAAATGCATATGACCTATGCACAAGTGCCTAGGGAAAGAGAAAAACATGTGCCTTGGCAGACAAGACAAAATCTGCCAGTGTTAAACCAGTTCCTCTGTATTTTGTATGCATAAAATGTTGTATTGTTTAAAGAAATATTTTCTGACCTGGGCATAATAGTAAATGTCTTTTAAAGATTTATTTATTTATTATGTATACAGTATCCCTGCAGGCCAGAAGAGGGCACCAGATCTCATTACAGTGAGCCACCATGTGGTTGCTGGGAATTGAACTCAGGACCTCTGGAAGAACAGCCAGTGCTCTTAACCGCTGAACCATGTCTGCACTTGGGTCAGGGGGGATCATAAGCTTGAGGCAGACAATCAGGCGTGAGTTACCCAAAGTGCAAGGCCACCCTGGGGAGACAGTATCTCATTTTTATCTGGGATACATACGTCTGTGTTCCAGGAGTTAAGATGAATTTTGTTCTCACAGCACCCACATCTGGGGCTCAACTGATTATAACTCCAGTGCTAAGGTAATCCAACATCCCTGGCCTCCTTGTGCACTGCACTCATGCACATACCCAGCCCTACATACATATATTTTATTTTTATTTTTTTTTTTAAAGCAAATTGCTACTAAAAAGTGGTTCTGCAATAAAAGTTAAAAATGAAGGCTTTTTAAAGAGATTTTTTTCCTGGACATGGGCTCTCTGAATCATTTGCAAGGCAGTTTTGGCATACATCTGTAAATTCTCTTGGGGGATGAACATTAAGTAAGCTTTAGGTGTCTGATTTTTAAGTTCTTAGTATGAAAGAGATCCAGATATTATTTCCCCCGGGCCTTTACATTTCTGTTTTGTAAACTGGGGCTCAATCTGTGAAGGGCTTTACTGGCGCTGTAGGTCTCCACGACTGTTGATATAAATATTTACTGCCATTAAGTATAAAGCCAAACAGCTTGAGGCTTGGTAAGTTGCCAAGACCACAAGAAGTGGGGAGTCAAAGGTGACTTGAGAGCTTTTCTAGCAAGCAAACCACCTATAGGACATTCATTAGATCTGAAGTGTTCCAAAGATGTTTTGATACACAATTTCAGGTTAGCAGTGCACTTTTGGTTAAACTCAGCTCAGCAGGCTTCTTTTTCATTAGACGTGGAAGCCCTGTCTTCACGTCTTTGCTCTTTAGCAGCCTCCCCATGTCAGCCTTGCCACATGGTCAGTCTTCTGTTTTGTGGGTTTTATAAAGCCTAAGAGCTCTAGTTCAGAAACAGCTCTAATGAATCGAGCGCTGGAGACTGGCTAAGGAAAATTAGTTGTTCTTTGTTTTTTCCAAAGAGGCTAAAATTTCAAAATTAAAAACAGTAACTGATAAGTTGAAATACTTGGCTGAAATAAACACTCCTACATTATAAATAACCCTATTGGAAAATATTGAATGCAGTTAGAATATACTGTCAATAAGGCTCAAATGGAGCTGTGTGTGATGGTACACCCTACTGTAATCCCAGCATTTTATGTAAGAATTGCTTCCTTGCCAAGCTCCTAAAAATATATTTAAAAGCTGATAATTCAATAATGACAATTTCCTTCATAGTAAAAACTGGATATAAATTGAATTACAGGTTTTGGGTTTTGTTTTGGTTTTTTGTTTTTCGAGACAGGGTTTCTCTGTGTATCTTTGTGCCTTCCCTGGAACTCACTTGGTAGCCCAGGCTGGCCTTGAACTCACAAAGATCCGCCTGACTGTACCTCCCGAGTGCTGGGATTAAAGGTGTGCGCCACCACCACCCGGCGAAGGCCCACGCTTGCTGGGTCTTGAATTCAAGGCCCTGTGTTCAAGCGCATGCTGTATCACTGACCTAGACTCTCAAGCTCAAGAAACATAAAATACTGTTACTAGGACACCACAGACTTGGTTTTAAAAGGATACTGGATAACTTCATTCATTTCTTCTGAAGTTGTAGGATTTGCATCCATTTTTTCAGCAGCTGTCACAACTGTTGCAAAAGCCTTTGGAATACACAAGACAAGACAACTTGTTGCTAGGCATCTCCCTGTACCCTTGAGATGGTTCTATAACTAATTAGGCTTTAATACTGCTGCTGTAGATAACTAGCGCATCTCTTTCATATTAGATTTCAAATTCTCAAAACCACAGTAGGAAGTTTTGTCAGTTATTCATTAAGAATAATAACATTGGCTCTTTATAAGTTGGTTTTAGAGAACTAAAGCAGAATGGCAAAAAACACAGCCAGCCAAAAATTTAAAGAGCAAAGAAAGCCGTGTCTCTACTGTCAATCTCTTACTCAAGGAAAATGCACATTTTTCTTAGAAGAGGCTAAGCATATCCTTTACCACTGACAAGGTAACAGTCAAACAGGGCTTTTGACAGTTAGGATCTCTGTAATCCTCTTCCCTCCTCAGAACAGCAGCACCACTTATCATCCATTCACCTTACCATGAATTTCTTGTTCTTTCTGATTGGAATTCTCCTGCTGTGTGAGGGGTATTCACTACACCCTGTGTTCTGTGGAGTGCACAGACAGTGACCCGAGCCTTAGTTTGGCTGCTGCTTTTAAAGAACACAGGATCAGAAGAGGAGCTGGTGAATGCAGACTGCTAAGATGGCTGCTTCCTAAGTTCCTTAGGAAGCATAACGAAATTTGTGCTTCCCAAACAAAAATTAAAAAATAAAGTAGAAATCAAAATGATAAAAAATTCTAGGAAAGTTGCCTCAAGCAGTTAAACAACAACTAGCATGTTCTTTGTGACCTACCTCTGACCAGTCGACAAGGTTAATTAGCCGGCTACACTCCAGGTGCAGTTTATATGCTATACAGATGTCAGGGGCAATATTTGGAATGCAGCCTTCCTCACTTTTCAGTGCTTCATTCTAAAAACAGATTACAAGTGAACCTTTTAGAAATGATTAAAAGCAAAAAGACATTAGTTGAACTTCTTGTAGTTTCAAAGAAAATGGCCCCCAAAGGGAGTAGAACTATCAGGAGATAGAGCCTTGCTGGAGGAAGTGTGTCACTGTGGGGGTGGGCTTTGAGGGCTGTTTTCTCAGGCTTCCCTCAGTGTGACAGTCAACTTCCTGTTGCCTGCCTATGGAGATGTAAGGACTCAGCTCCAACACCACACCTCCTACATGCCACTATGATCCCCACCATAATTGACCGAACCTCTGAAACTGTAAGCTGCCACCACAATTAAATGTTGTCTTTTATAAGAGTTGCCATGGTCATGATGTCTCTTCACATCAATGAAAATCCAAACTAAGAAACTCCTAAATTTAGCAAATCAGAAAGAAGAGTCTTCTAGTTCCTTTCAATCCTATTCTTATTCGGGTCTAAGTCTTAGCCATAACCCACTAGCTCTAAGCCATCATCCCAAGACTTTTTTTCAAATCATAGTTATATATATATTACTATTTGCTGAAATGAGTTTAGAATTCTCTGGGGATAATTGCCCAATAAAATGCTACTTCCAACATTTGTTAAACTCAATTCTAGCAATTATGTGGGATTAGTAAATACATCTCTCACTGAAAAAGATTTTGTTGTCAACATTGTACTTTTTTCTTCTTTTTATTTATTTTTTTTCAAACAGGGTGTCCATATAGCCTGGGCTAACCATCATAACCCAGTTACAGATTTATTTTTGTTCATGTATATGAGCATGTCTATGTGAATGGACACCCCTTAAGTACAAGCATCTGCAGAGACCAGGGAGAGGGCACCAGAAAAGAGCTGTAAACAATCAACCACTTAGCACTAACACCATAAGCCCTATAAAAACTCAGTATTGGTTTAACCTATTTGAAATAAACAAAATCTCATACGCAAAATGCATCTAAAATCACATCAGTTTGTTTCTAACTCTATCACTAAGCATTTTAGTTTATAATTTATACATTAGAACCATTCTGTGATTTTAAATTAATTCATTTATTGTGTGTGGAGGTGGTGGAGCATGTGGAGGATTGGAGACTAATTTGTAGGTGTTAGGTTTCTTTCCCTCCACAGTTTCCATCTCAGAGACTGTCTGAGTTTAATGAGGCTTAATGGCAAATGCCTTATGTACTGACTGACTGAGACATCTAAGCAGCCACTGCTGTTATTTAAACATGAAATTCTCAAGGATGGAGAGATGGCTCAGGGGTAAGAGCACCTGCTGCTGTAGAGGAGGACCTTAGGTGGCTCCTACTTTCGAGCAGCTCACAACACCTGTCATTTCAGCTCTACGGACTCTTGTGGGCACTGGACTCACATGAGCTCACACCCACACACATAATTAAAACAAGTCTTTAATATGTGTGTCTTTGATAAGTCTCTGATATGAAACCATCAAGCTCCTGATTACCACTACCACTGAAAACCACTGGCATGTTGGAACTTCCTACTCTGTATTTTTCCTCCCATACTTCACATTTGTATGGGAATGTGCCATTTTACAATGAGCAGGCAGTAGTTTGGGATGTTTTTATGGAGCCATTTTTTAAAATTATATCACTATTATGTGTGTATGTATGTGTGGGGGCATGCATGTGCTACTTGTGGTGTATGTGGGGGTTAAAAGACAACTTTGTGGGATCAGTTCTCTTTCTACCTTTATATGGGTTCGAGATGAAACTCAGGTTATAGACTTATTACTAAGTAATAATCACTTTAGCCCCTCTATCCACTGAGCTGCGTGACTGCCTAGTTTACTTTTTTCCAAGTCTCACTAAGTTCAAACTGGCCCTGAACTTGATGATCCTCTGCATGAGCCACTGTAGTGCTACCACTCCTGACTTAAGAGTGCCTTCTAAAACATCTTTGGTGAAAGGCAAACTTCCAACTCTTCCCGAGCACACGCGTCTGTGCGTGTACAAAGCCCCTAGCCATCTACTTATCATCTACCAAACACAATATTCAGTATTCATTTAACTGTCAGAAGAAAGGTAGTTTTGAACATCTGAAACTGAAATTAGTAATGTTTTAGGCAACTGTGTCTGCCCTTGTATGCTGCCTGAGGAGTTTCTGCAGCAATAACCTGCAGGTGCTCTCAGAATAGATTGCTCTTAGGTTAAAAACCCAAGATGAAATCCTGGTGTATTTTTTCCATTCAAGTAAGCATTTGTAATTTTGCATACTTTGATTAGGCCTTATCACCTGACCACTGACAAACTGTTGTTACCTACATAGGAATCATTTTTCACAAGAGTAAGGCATTATATCCTAAAGCTTTACGCTTATGATTTGTTTTAAAACTTATGTGTGCGTGAGCATGCACATGTGTAGGTAAAAGGACAATTTTTGGGAGTCCTCTCCTCATACCAAACTCAGATCATTGGGCTTCGTGGCAAGTGCCTTTATATGTGGAGCCTCTCACTGGTTTTAGCCCATGAAAAGCAGACAGGTTCTATATGAGCAAATATATGCACCCTCAGTTGATTACTGATATTATCACTGAGTCAGTTCACCTAAAATCTAAGAATCTTTTTTTTTTCCTTAGAAAAATATGAGTAGCAGCACCCAGAGCTGCTAACTTTCTGCTCATTAAAACAGAGCTGCAAACTGGGAATATTTTTTGTAATGCTGACAGCTAGGGCTTGAGCTTAACTGTGGGAGAACCATTCCCTTCTTACCTTTAAATAATAATAAGGATTGTTGAGTGCAGTGTGTAGGGCGATTCGTGGAGCAGCATTTAAGTGCTCACGGAGTGTGTGGGCAGCAGTGAAGTACACTACCTCATGCAAGGGCTGGCTCTCAGGAGGCAGAAGGTAACTTCTGAAACAGGGAAATCAGGTGTCAGCCCTTAGATAGGTACAGGGTTATTTTCAGTTCAACAGTTCTGTCAATCCTCTATGGCTGAATATTTTTGTTACTTAAACAGTGAAATACACAACCAAACCAAAGCCAAGGAATGGCTCACATACAGTTTCATCCAGAATCATACCTCAATACTACTTTAAAAATATCCTCTGTATTTGTGATAGCTATTCTTGGTGGTCTACTTGACTATATCTGGAATTAACTTAAAATGCAAGCAGCTGTGCATTCCCATGAGGCATTTTTCTTAGTTGGATCATTTGAGGTGGGAAAACCCACCCTAAATCGAGGCCATACCTTCTTAAGGCAGCCCATACAAAGGGCATGAAAGGAAACTTTGGCTTTTTGTCTACTTGCTCTCCTTCTCCCTGGCAAGTTCATATATCCTTTTGCTGAGGCATTCCTTCACTGGTTATTAGAGTCTAACTCTTCAGGACTCTGACATGCTGGGCCAGCTGAGACATCCAGCTTTGTTGAACAACCATTGATTGGATTCTTGGGACTTTCTATCAGTTCTGTTCTTCTAGAGAACCCCAATACAGTATTTATAAGAAACTGTGTTTCAGTTCAAAGTCTGAGTCAAACCTTTAATCAAACATTTGAGCATCTGTTATGTTTATGCTTAAAATCTCTAACATAGAACTTCTTAAGGTATGAATTTCTTAACTTAATTAGAAAACACATCAACATTCTAGTCTTTGGGAAAGTGATAAACACTGCCTGAAATTGAAAGTTTAGGAAATTTTTCTTGTGTCAGGAAAAAACATAGTTGATATTTTTCATGGAAATAATACCCAGGAGCTAAGACAGGGCTAAGAAGATGGCTCACTGAGGAAAAGCTTCGGGTAAAGCAACAACTGTGAGGACCTGAGGCTGGATTCCAAGTACAGTGTAGACAGCCACATGTGCCATGTGCGCCTGTGAGCCCAGTGCTTACGTCTACACTTCAGGCTCAGTGAGAGACGACAGCATCAAAGAGGACACCCGAAGCTCTCTGGCCCCCACTCCATGCATGTGCACACTCACATATACACATGCTCATACACCACACACGTACAAAAGAAAACAGGCTAAATTTTAGTTTTAAAGTCTTTAAAAACAAAGTGTTCAGCAACAAAATTTCAATTATTACAAAAATGAGCATAACTTAGAACTTTATCTTTTGCCTATGAGCTAGGTAACAAACCCATTTGAATGGAATGTTTACTTTTAATCTATGCTGAGTCAATGTCTGTGCCCTGACTGTGACACAGGTCTGGAGAGGGCCTGCTGGGAAGCCTGCAAGGCAGAAGCTTTGGCATACAAACTGCAAAGACAGAACAGTAAGTTATAGCCTGGATTAAAATAGCTCAGATGCTTCTTACCATATGCTAGTCAAATGAGAGATTGTGCAGCTCCTTTTTCTTTTCTTTTTTTTTTAAATTAATTAATTTATTTTTTATTATCAGCTTGATACGGTACAAATTCTTATCCTAAGAGTGAAATGTTTCACTGAAGCTTGCCCAGTGATTGAGTAAAACCAAAACTTATTATAAGCCACAGTCATCCTAGGGACGCAGCTCCTTTTTCTATCAGTGAAGGTAGAGCAAAGCAGCTACCTCAGTGTATCCAAAGACATTGCTGCTACTCTTCCTCCTCCTAGTGCCCCAGCCTTTTCCCTAGGAAAGCCTCATACACTTCCTGTCCTGCTGCTGCCAGTGACTGAAGAAGAGAGGAAGTGAAGAGGGCACTGGCCATGTACACCTTTCCTCACTACCCCCTCCTTCCACCTCAACAGTCTGCTCTCAGATGCTGGTCCTTCTCCACGGTGCACTTAAAAAGCAGCACAGATGCTGAATCAGCATTCTGCTTGTATTTAATTTTAAATGTCTGTCAAACTTGTGTGCTCTAGGCCTTGTGGAGTATATGGAAAGGATTTCTGACAGCGGGACCTCTCTCTGAGCTCTGGGTGTCAAGTCTCCCCTCTCTCTTCTTTGCCTTCCTTTCTCTTCTGTTTCCTTGCCTTTCTTCTTCCCTTTCCCCTTTTAGCTTTAACAAAGTACAATATTAATCTCTTTCTTCCTGGGAGAAACAGTCTTGGTAACAACACCAAGTCTTTGTGAGGGAAATTTTGTGATTTCACAACAAATTTCAGTCATTCTCAGCATTATTTCAGCAGCTGGTGAAAGGCTGAAGAGTGAGATGTAATAGGCAAGAAGTCAGAAGAGTGGCTGGGTGGCTGGAGAGCCTCTCAAATGCTGGGTTACAGGCATGAACCAGCACATTCTGCTCTGCTTTCCACTGCTTGGTACATGTCCCATTTTAAAATCTGTAACATGGTCCAAGTTTCTAAAAGAAGGTCAGTTGGATGGTTAATTTCATGTACACACATAAAGCTGGCTTTTGGACGGGAAATCTACTAAATAATCTTACCAAGAAAGAATCATAAAACAAACTAGAATGGGAGACTTCGATAGTTCTTAAGCAGATATTTCAATATATATTTGGTGCTGATATTTAGTTGTCCTGATAAAATATCTAGAACAAAAGAGCAACATGGCTAGTATGCAATGTCTATTTCTGGGCGCGGCCCAGATCCAGCATATACTACTTATACAGGCAGAAAAATGATAAATTACAATGCAAAACAGGGGGGATACTTTGAAACTTCCCATATTTCCTCACCCAGCCTAATGGGCTAAATGAAGTTTAAACCTTCCTTCCTGAACCGACAGTAAAAAATTAACTGAGTCATTTGATTAGACAACTCAACAAGGACAGAAGGTCAATAAAAATGCTCACTCTAGTTAGATGGAGAAACATCCTGGGTTGGCTCTGGGCAGCTAGTTTACTAGTGTCATTTGGAACAACAGGATTCCTTTTAGCTTCTGAGAGCTTTAGACTCACCTCACCAGGTTGTCGATGAAGTTCACAACATTTTCTCTGAGCATTTCAAACTTGGTCTGCTTCTTAGTTGATCTCCTTAACTCCTTCATTTCCAGTAAGGACTACAGGGCCCAGTGGGGAAAAGAACAGGCATTTTTGTTGATCTGAGGACAGGAACTCTTTCAGAGAGCTGTCACTCATGTAAAGAGGCATGAGCTGTGACTCAAGTAGAATCTGGGAAGACTCTGCCCCTCCACATGTTTTGCTTCAAACATGTACCAAGTGGATGTTTAAGGAAAGAAGAGGGCGTTTACATCACCGCTCAGGTACACAACAGTGCTTGCTATTTAGAAACCATTAGTTCATGGCTGAGACTGAGGGAGAGAAACACCACATTACCATCACAGCTTTGGGTCACATGAACGATTCTGTGAGTTTAGTTTCACCCAAACTGAAATTCTGTGCTCCATTTATAACTTGGTAGTATGCTACAAAGAAGGGTCTTCATTTGATAATCAAGGGCTGAAAGGGCATTCTCTGAGAAAAAGACCACTGAGCATACTGTGACTCTGTTTCTTTTTTAACCCTGTGAATGTTCAATAAAGAAAAAGACAAGAGACTGCAGTTCAAAGTTAGGGTACTAGCTAGTGGTGAGGCATCCTGGTTTGGTTCCAGCATTACCGGTGTGTGTGTGTGGGGGGGGGGTCAAGAAAATAGGTGTTAGGCTCTCTTGACTCTCGATTCAAAAAGAGAAGTACGTACATTATATCTACATATTCTTTTTGTAAGCCATATACCTATTTTTCCCTTACAGAGTTAATTCTGTTTTCTTCCTTGAGGCTTCAGGAATGGTTTCTATATTGTCTAGTAGACTGTAGACTATGTGCATGTACAATCTAGGATGACAGTGAGACAAATGACAGTATTCTAGTACAGAATGGAATCTACCTCTAGGTGGAGACATACACATGTCCTTTCCCTTGCGAATTAATTCAGTACCATGGGCCAAGGCCCCAGCTAGGTGGCACTCATAGTGAGGCTGGTTCACTTGCCTTGAGATAATGTGGTTTTCCTTTCCAGCATTCCCAACATCTAGTTACTAAAGAACCTCCATGAAGTTTGGCTGGATGTCCTAGTCTTTCTGATTACTGCCACAGGCATAACTATTCCTTTTTCTTTTACATGCTGGCCAGAGCAGAGCCTAAGTGTGCTTTTTAACTTACTAACCCTTTGGACTTCCATATTTTCTAAGGCTATCCTCCTTGCCCCGTGGCTGCTTGCTTATTTTTCCCCTCTGGGCAGCTGCAAGAATTACAGTTTGCCTGCCCTGGTGTGTGTGTGTGTGTGTGTGTGTGTGTGTGTGTGTGTGTGTGTGTGTGTGTGTGTGTGTGTGTGTGTTTGTTTGTTTGTTTGTTTTAGCACTATTAATTGCCCTCAAGCTTGTTTGAGCACCTGGGTAATTTTTTTTTTCATTATTAAGACTAAGGACCCCCAAACAGGACCTCAATTTCCATGGTATTATATGATGGGTTCCTCAAGATTTCCTGTAACTCTTCTTTTTTGCCTTCTAATTCTTCACTAGGCACAGAAAAGCAGCTCCTTGCAGTTTATATGGCATCAGTCTGACTCATTTAGTAGCTGCAAAGTCTGTATTGTTCCTGGTTGTGATGTAAAAAGTGAAAGTGAAGACATTCTGGCAGAGCTAGTCTAGACCAGTTGAAACAAGGGCACCACTCCCAAAGCAGCCGGAAGGAAAAGAAAGATACCTGACCTTCTGAAGGTGATAGAGGTCAGTTTTCTGCAGCCCCTTGGGCTGTGATCCACAAGCATCCTCTTCCTCTTTGCTGTCTGCTTTGAAAACAAAACCAATATACAAGAGAGGGAACAAAATGTGCAGTAATCCGATGGAAGCAGAAGTTACACTTTTCTTTCTAACATGAGCAGGATTCTACCAGACAAATGATACTCATTGCAGAAGCTAAAGACAATACAGTTTATATGGTAGTGAGGTCTTCAAAAACTAGCTCCTGAATTTTGAGTGTTTTGAAGCAACAGAACAAAAGCATGTATAAATATGAAAAAAAAATTTTTTTCAAGCTGGGCGGTGATGCACACATTTAATCCCAGCACTTGGGAGGCAGAGGCAAGGGGATCTCTGAGTTCAAGGCCAGCCTGGTCTACAGAGTGAGTTCCAGGACAGGCTCCAAAGCTACACAGAGAAACCGTGTCTTGAAAACTTAAAAAACAAACAGACAAACAAACAAACAAACAAACATACCAACTGAAACTATGTCCCCTTGACCTCACTAACATTGTAACATGATAAGCTACATTCTGAATTTACTATTCTTGACTCATTACTGCTCATTATGAGGAAGATGATGTATAAAAGCTGTAAAAATCTATTTGAGAAAAAGAAACCCTAGCTGTTAAAATGTACAGCTATGTGCCTGGAGGGGAAGATGCTCTGACTTTGTAATCTGACACTGGCAATGGTTTGCTTCAAGTATGGAAGAATACACATTATTCTTAAAGAATCAGATAATTCCTGATTTTAGAAATACATAGCCTAAGGTTAGGCTAACTACTGGCTAAATTCTTTTTTTAAATTTCATTAACTTGTAGCAGAACCTTAAAACTGATTGTTACACTCAGCCTCATTTGACTCCTCCCATTTAAATCCAAATTATAATATGCCAATAGTGTACAAGAAACCAGAGGTGGAAAATAACCAAATATTTCTTCCTGTGAGAAATGTTAAGTATATTTTAAGTTATATGTTAAGTATATATTTTTAATAACAATTGACCTTTTAAAACTGAGAAATAAAGAGAAATCACCAAGATGGTGATTTTGCTTTAATTAATAAAACACTTTAATTTTTATACTGTTGCCAATCATTTTCATCTTCAAACTTCCATTTGAGAAGCTGCGATCCTTTACTGTTGTATAACACAGGAACTGTTCACTAGGTTGTGTCACATAAATTCTAGTTAAACTTATTATGAAATCAGCAGTTTCTTCTTAGGGAATGAATTCCTGAATCCAAATTATTTTATATTCTTCTATACTTTTGGCTATATTTATGTTCTAAAGAATAGCTTCTCATTGGTGAAACTACAACTATGAACTGATCACACACACACACACACACACACACACACACACACACACACACACACACACTGGGCTGGAGGCCAGGAGAGGATTATAGTCTAGGTGTACACACACACACACACACACACACAACACTACACACACACACACACAAACACACACACACACAC